GGTATACTCTTGAATACATCAATCAATTTGGCATGGAAACATGAAGGTTGTACAGCGAAGCGTGTATTGCTCACCATGTACACCTTGCAGCTTACTTTGGTAACAAAAACCGGCGCTAATTGTTGCTGTTGTTGGTTATTGTTGGGCGTATGTAGTGCATTAACATTCGGCTTGCTGTTGGACAACGTATTACGTTGGTAAGGATGCGCTTGATCGCGTGCATTCCTAGCATAACTGCCGATGTTATTACGTTTTAAGTCATTTAAGAAATTTATAGCTCCCGCGGAATGTTGCGGAGTCTTTTTGTTTTGATTGTTATTTGTTGTAGATTGCTGCTGTACTTGATGTTGCTGTTTAAAGAAAGTATTCGTCGGAATAGCACCTATGGCGTTACGATTTTGATGCAGTGTGGCATTCCCGGGTTTGTCTCCTGAAGTTACAGAGTTAGCTAAACGTTGCTTCTTTGCGGCTAATTTTTCCAAAGCTATACGACGTTTCTCCGCAATTTCAGCAGCACTACACATAGACATTTTACTAAACTTTGGTATATTTACAACATAAAAAAGTGCTTTTAATTTTTGATACTTCACTGGCGCGAATAAAAATAAATAAAAATTCAAATACACAGCTGATCGAATGTAACAACTTTGTACTTAAAATACTTTACACCCAACACCCACTAGAGATTCCACATAGCAGTTCAAATTTTAATTTTTTTAATTTCCTAAATGAAGGAAACTCCGCTTTCTAGCTTAATCCGCTTTGCTCTTTCAAGTTAGAGAGTGGAAGAGGTCATGCTTACTCTATCTTGTACCGGCTTCAAAATTTGAGTAGCCTTGATATGTGCAATATAAAAATGCTTCAAAGGCGTAAAGAGGTAATACAAAAAAAAAACCTTAATATACACCTAACAAAGCACGTAAAGATACTCGTATAGATTTAAGTTCTTTGATAGAACGCAAGCGAGGTTCTCACGCAGGTGAAGGTGGCCAATAAATATATAACTAATGGAAAATGGAATATGTGTTCATCTGCACCACCCTGCAACCAATCAGCTGTTTTGGTAATGTGTATTCGCGATCAAAATAGAACATATAAAATATAAAAACAAAACAGAGGAAAACGTATTGAAATAAGTCAATATACTTGAAAAATATTAATGAATTCACATTAAATTTCTTTAAAAACCAATTCTTTCACTTATCGTGGTCATCAGTTACAAACAATTAAAAAAATGTGTAGCCTACAGGCAGAGGAGAATCATTTGGCCTCCATGGCAGTAGCTCCATCAGCTCAGGAGACATCGTCAATAGTGACACTCTTCGATATAAGCTGGCAGGATGTTTTGATACCAATGGTCACCGAATTCCTCAGTCTCAAAGACTTATTTAATTTGCGTTGCTGTTCGCAAACTGCCAAACGCTTCGTGGAAGCTACATTTGAGCGTCGCAAAGACATCAATCTGGCTGGCAATAATAGTCGCAACATTGAATTAGCATTCACTGTCTTGGGAAAGTGCTGCCGCCGCGTTGAGAACCTGTATTTGGCACGTTGCCATTGGTTGACAGATGAATACCTGCTGCCGATTTTAGCTGAAAATACCCGACTGCGTATAGTAAATCTAAATGAGTGTGTCAATATAACACCGTTAGCACTCCAACCGATTATTATTGAATGCAAGGAGCTGCGCATTTTGAAGCTTTCCAAATGTCAGTGGTTAACTACAGGCGCCGTTGATGCGCTGACTTTGCACCACAGCAATTTGGTTGAGTTTGACATTTCACACTGCACAGCAATTGGAGAGCGTTGTTTGATTATATTCTTCCGAAAATTAAATAAATTAAATGTTTTGTCATTAGCCAATACACCAAGTGTTACTGATCAGGTGTTAATACAGATTGCCAACTACTGCCGGGCACTGGAGCACATCAATTTGGTTGGCTGTGCTGCTATTTCTGACTATGGTATACAGTAAGTACCGAATTACTGATGGTTAAGGCATGCAGTTTTCCCCTATGTTTTCGCAACTTTCCAGAAAACTCCACCACACACTTAAGTATTTAGTGCAGTACCCTCACAGTTTTTTTTTTGCATTTCTCTTTTTTCTATTTGCAGTGCAATCGCGACGCATTGCACTCAGCTACGTTCACTACTTGTGCAACGTTGTCCGCGTGTTACGGAGCGTTCATTAGCACCGCTACGCAAACGCGCATACGTCGATCGACAAAGTCAATTAGATATGTATTTAAATGACTTCTACCCCAGTGATTTTCTCATTTACTAATTTGAAATCTACATATTATTTATATACATTTGACTATCAGAGGCAATTAAGACAGCGGAGTTTATTTATGCTCTGCTTTTGTGTTTATTTGCAGCGCTTTAACTATAGCTTGCCAGCATCTACAATCGCTGATGGTACATCGATGTCCGAACGTAACGGAGCGGGTGTTGGCGCCACTGCGTGGTCGCATCTATATCGATCGTCCGCAGCTGGGCTATAATGTGCCAGCTTTTCCGGGACATATAAATTGTCTATATTTGCAAGTTTAACTCAAAATGGCTATTTCACTCTGTTTAGAACTACTATATTTTTGTGTGTGATTCTCTTTAGAAAATAACTTATGCTAGCTGTAGTTTTAAACTCTAGTTTATTTACAATACCGATCAATATATGTATAACTAAATACAATTAAAAAATAGTTGTGCTTATGCTTTCACAATAGGTTCTCACAATAAATATATGATTGGATCTGCTTATTAACGGAACCGCGTACACTTAGCTGAAACTGTAGAAAATTTAGTTTTTGTAGAGCAAAATTACAGATTAGGAGTTAAAATTGAGTGACCAGCTGCATGACTCTTTTGGGGAGTGTTATAAGCAAAATTATTGCAGAATATCTACATATAAGCATTAGAAACAAGACCAAATAAAAGCGGATCGCTTCTCATATTACAAAAACAAAAACACTCCAACACCTAATTCGTAGACCTTTAAAAATAAATGGCCGATCTCGAACTACTGCCAACAAATTATTTTCAGCTTAATTAAATGTAAAAATTTAGTAAACCAAATGCGCATTATTGTGCTTCTATAAGCGGCGAGGTAACGGACGTTGAATTTTCAGCGTTGCCAAGCTTTGATGCCGATGTATTTTTGCTAACAAATTTGTCTTCTGCATTATCAGTTCGCCACTGTGCATGTACCTGTTTCAGACGATTATATGCACGCATTGATATATTCAAGCTAGGCATAACTTCCAACAAGCCCGGTTCATTCATGAAGGACAATCCACAAAGACCAAAATATGTGTGAAATGGATCTGTTGTAGATTGTGGCCATTTGGAGAAACCACCGACTATGCTGTCTTGTGTCTCCATAATGTAGGCGCGATTTTCGGCGTAGTCGATTAGTTCAAAGGCACCTAAAATACGTAGCGCTGCACCAATCCAAAAGGAATAACAGGTATCCACAGTTTTGTTCGGACGTCCCTGGAAACCATTTACCTACAAAAAGGCGTTGCGCATTAAAATAGAATATTACAAAGGCAATCAACAAATAAGTACAACTCACTTGTCTAAAAATGAGCCAACGCTTTATATTTTCAATCGTTGTCTCGTCTAAGCGATGCAGTTGGCCGCTCAAATCTAACGCAGCCAAAGCGCAAAATGTAGTACCACCATGCGCTTCACCCTCCAAATACTGACTGAAGCCATTGTCATAACGCTGCAGTTGTAAGAGGTTTGATTAATAATTTTTTTTTCTAACCTTTCCGCCATTTTAAATACTTACAATACAACTTGTTATGAATTGGAACATTTTCTCTTTATCCACATCTCCCCAATAGTCTAACATATGGCAAATGGCGGCTGCACAAAACACGAAACGCATATCGTTCTCACTGCCGTCTATACAGGCGCTAAAGCTGCCATCTGGGCGTTGGACTGCAGCTACGCCTGCGATATGAGAGGCATTTTTTATTTCATTTTATCCTTTAAGTATGTATGTATGTAAGTTTGCTACTCACCATCAACAATGCTTTTGCGATCCAAACGACTCAAGTCATCACCAAGTGTGGCCAATATGCCAATACCAGTGTAAGTCATTGCAAGATGACCCCACTGATAGTACCTGGCATTAGCCTGCAGTTGCTCATCATCGGAAATAATGTTGACACAACGTGATCCCTAAAAAGAAATAGGAATTAAGGAAATCTTAATTTTCTCATGAGTTCGATTATATTGTTTGTGTCATTTTCGATTTAAGAAATTTGTTGTTATATTGTTATATAGTATATGTAGGCGGTTGAACTTAAAACTTGCAATATCGCAAAAAGTCCATAAAATAACTAATGAATTTGATACAAAAGAAAGGTTCGAAATGGTATTGCTAAGAGTGCAATTTTTTACATTTTTAAATTACTTATTTAAATTATTTGTTATGCCGCTGCTATGATAAAAGTTACTTGCTGCTCTTATAACAGCAACGAGGTATTTGCTAATTCGGGAATCGTTAAAATGATATGATACGTTTGACTGGAGAGTACATTCATACATATCTGCCAACATATATTTCATTACTTGGCAAGCAGTTTGCTTAAATTTAATGTGTTTGTTTCTTAAATTAGCCCTAATAACGCAAGATTGTTATCTCAAGAAAGAATAGCGATACTTGCTTTTAAAGGGGAACATGAATCACAGCATGTTTTTTTTTTTGTATACTGAAGTAAACACAAAAAGTCACGGAGCTGCAGAGCAAACATGTTTTAATACAGTTGAGAAGTTCGTAAAAAGATAGTGAGTGGTTGACTGTTTTATACGCGACATATGTTTATACATACATATAGATAACATGTTATGAGAACACACGTACATACATATGTATATAGTATTGTGCATGTGTACATGCAAATAAAATAACATTACCTTCTAGTGGCTTATGATTAATTGCCTGCGTTATGACGCGGCTACGGAGTTAAACCCTAGCCGCTGGTATTTACCTGAAAGCCACTGCAACATTTCGTTTCTCCCTCCTTCGTAATTACCAAACCACC